ACATGTACAAAATCCTAGTTGGTACTAAGTTTGAAGTTTTAGCAATGAATATGACATGTGCACTCATAGTTTTCGCAGGCTATGGAGTCAAACTACCTAAGTTAAAATCTTGACTCTGTCACTTACTAGCTGTGTACATTGTGTAAGTTGCATATTCTCTGTGGCCCCAGTTTCTCATCTTAAAAGCAGGAGGATAGCAATAGTAACTGATCTTTAAGGGTGGTTGAAACATTGGATGAGTTAATACACATAAAGCATTTAGAAAAGTGTCTGACACATAATGTTCAGTAAGTGTTATATACTATTTACTGTTAAATTAAATGAAGGACGACATGTTAGTGGATTCAAATATTTTATTGTAAAATTGTATATGTTAGTAGTTATACTAAATGAAGAGCATGTTACTTTCATTAAAATCAGCTAGTAACAATAATAACAATTAAGAACTCTCACCTCTGTAGCAGACACTGTGAGGTAGTCTACATACATTGCTTTGTTACAGTAATCAACTGAGGCAGATGCTCATATCCAGAATTTAGATGTCAATGACTTACTAGAAGTTAAGTAAATTGCCCAAAACTCATAACTTGCAAATGGTAGAGTTGACTCCAGAGTCCATGTTCTTTTTACTTTGCCATTATGTCTTTCATCAAATCTTAAAATTTGCAATAAATAGGAACCTTTGGGCAAGAACTTTGAGGCCCAGTGATAATAAGCTATTTTTTAAAGTCTTGAGAATGAGTTCTGGAAATCAGATTACCTGAATCAGTCCAGATATTTCAGTTGTCACATGGGCTCAAGATTATATTTCTGAAATTTTTTATGATTATGTTAATACTGTTTTTATTTTCTGTGTTTCATTTGGAGAAGAACTGAAAAACAGAGAGAATTTTTGTTTTTCTTTGTAAGAGAAGATACCCCTTACATTTTCTCCCAGTATACATTGGAAGCCTTCTGTCTCTAGTCATGCTACCTTCCTCCTTACTTATGCCACCTAGAATGTTTTCTTAGGGTCTGCTTAAGATTTTATGGCAGGATATATACTGTAACCCAGTATTTCCCAAATCATGGTCTGCTGGTCACTAATTTGTGTATTTTTAAAAAGATATAAAGTTGTTAGGGGTGGTTTTGTGACCAAATATGTTTGAGAAATGTTGGGATGCTTGTTTGAAGTAAAATGGGCTTCTTTTTTTTAACAATAGTATTTTAGCAATATGTGGACTTGCACATCTCCAAGCAGCTATTATCTGTATTCATTGACCACGAGGCCTCTTTCCCAAAGCATACTGTGACTCTGGTGTTGCACAGAACACACCTTAGGAAGCGACACATTATCCGGACACAATATCGAGATGAAATATGCTAAAAAACCAAAACAAAATGTATCTGCTGTTCCAAAAAGAATATGTTACATATCAGTGATATCTCCTATTATTTTTTCAGCTCCCAAATTATAACCAGTCCTGTTCCTCCAGTGTCTTCCCCTCCCCCTGCATCTAAAACGAAAGAAGGTTCAGATGGTGAAAATCTGGAGGTGAGTGCAGAGCTTTTCAAGTTTGCTATAGGAGAGATCCTACCAGATAAACACCGTAGAGTGGTTTTCATTTTTTAAATTTTTATTTATTTATTGATTTTAATCCTCACCTGAGGATATGTTTTTCATTGATAGTAGAGAGAGAGGAAAGGAGAGGGAAGAAGGGAAGGAGGGACAGAGAAACATCCATGTGCAAGAGAAATGTCGATCAGTTGCCTCATACACGTGCCCCAACTGGTGATCGAACCTACAACCTAAGTATGTGCCCTGACCAGGAAGCAAACCTGAGACCCTTCGATGCATGGGATGATGCTCTAACCACTTATCCACACCAGCCAGGGCCTAGATTGGTTTTTGAAACATGGATTTTTTTTTTTTATTAGCACCTGAGTATTTGTTTCCATTGATTTTTAGAGGGTCGGGGGAGAGAGAGAGGGAGAGAGGGAGAGAGAGAGAGAGAGACATCAGTTGCCTCCTGCGATTGGGTCTCAGGATGGAACCTGCAACCCAGGTAAGTGCGCTTGACTGCGAATTGTACCTGAGACCCTTCAGTCTGTAGGCCAACACTAACCACAGAGAAACACCAGCCAGGGCCTATGGTGGCTTTTAAAACATTGATTTTGATTAATAAACCAAATATTACAACTTTATTAAATAACCTGTTTTATGATGCATGTTTATTACTTTTCCTCTCAGCAAAAAGCACCAGATGATCTTCAATTCGAGGCTTTTTATTGGTGCTTTGGGCATATGAATAGATTCATATGCAATGTAAAAATAAACTGGCTTCAGTATTTTATTAAAGAAACTCAATATTTATTGCTAACGTATTTATGAACATTACTGTAATTTTTGGTGTTTGTGATGACACTGTAGAAATGTGTGGCTTTGATACTAAGGTTGATACACTACAAAGCTGTTTCTTAACTCATAGAAAAATTAAATCTTTTTAGATAAGTAGACTGACTTTTGAGGTAAAACAGGCCTATTTGGCTGGTGCTACTCTGAAACGTGCATTTGGAAGTGCATTTGCAGGAGCACTAGTATGCATTGTTTAATTTCTCTCTAAGACTTCTAATTTGAGAAGAATCTTTGACACCCCTGATGTTTAAAACAAATATGTGTTTAGATATTAAACAGTTAATAGCAGTTGGTAATATATATATATATATACATTTCTTTTAATTCTTTCAGCAAGATCTCTGCACCTTTTTGATATCAAGAGCCTGCAAAAACTCAACACTGGCTAATTACTTATACTGGTATGTGAAAATAATTTTCTGTTTATTTTCTGTAGGCCCCTCCCCTCCCAATATCATAAACATTAAGTCAGTTTAAAATAACGTGTGAGCAACCATCCAAAGCCTAAGTATGGTATTTATATCTAGCTGTATTCCCTTACAACTGTGCTCGTGAATGCTTGTTAGCACCACCATTTCTCTTCTTTTCACTAACTTTCCAGTATCTAAGATCAGGTTGGGTAAGGTAATGAGTGTGTTTTTTTTTGTTTGTTTGTTTGTTTTTTTCAGTTTGATGTCTGCTTGCCTTTTATGGTATCTAAGTTTAAGTATGATACTTTATAGTCCCTTAGGAGTGTGTATTTTCACATTATTTACCAAAACATCGGAAGCATACAGAAATGGAAAGTGGGAATGTGAGGTTACTTATTTTATGGACGAGGAAACTGAGGCAAAGTCATCATATAATTGAACTTGATAGAACCTGAAGATTAGATCATTTACCTAGCACTTTGCCATTTACAGAGTATTTTCAGTGACCTTTTCTCAATTGTTCCTGTGAGGTTAAATAGGGCAAGTATTAAATACCTCTATTTTATGATCTCTTGAGTTGAAGGAAAGGAAGGAAGGAAGGCACAGGAAGACTAACTCACTTTTTGAGATATAATTAATATGAAGCATGATTCCCTTTATCTGTCACAGAACCCTACAGTGTAAAGGATAAGAAGACTAAGCCACAAGGGAAATATTTTGGTTCAATAAAACATAGCACTAGGATTAAACACTTGACAAGGAAACCTTATCCAGTTTTGCAGAGCAAACAAAGGGAAGAGCCAGCTGGGTAAGCCCTGCCTGAAGCCTCTGGACATTGAGAGAACATTTAAAACTTCTCCACTTACTTGATATATTTTTAACTATAGAAATAATCTCTAATTTTTACCGCTCAATTTACTGTGCTTACTTAAACAGTACGAATTAATAGATCTTTATTCTGAAAGCTCATTTTTTAAGAACAATGAGGCATTTCCCTTTCCATGACAGAATTAAACAAAATACTGTCTTGTTTTTGACTGAGTTTAGAAAAACTGTCCAGTAGGTCAGGTATACATTTTAATTGTTCTATTTCCTTTTGAACATTTTGAATTTCCTTTTTCATTTGTTCCCTTTCTAGTGATTTAAATGGGATTTCTGCTCTAGCTGAACCCTTAGGGGCCTGTTGTTGTGCAGACAATCCTTTTAAAATGAATAGTGTCAACCTTTTAAGCCACAGAGAGAAGTTATAGTCTCCGATCTGTGAAATGTTGGGCATCAGGATCTATAAATCGTTTCAGAGTTTTATTTTTATAGCTATTCCAGTATGATGGAATTGAAAGTAAACTTTGGATGCTTTGACATGTTTTTCTCTAACTTTTAAGACTTTTCAAGATAATAAAGGTTATTTACCCCACAAAACAAAATTGCCAGGACACAGGTAGTCCACTGATGTCATCTTACAATGGGAAATGGGGCAGTTTTGTCTGCCTTTCTACTTGAAGATGACAGATTTCAAGGGAATACATTAGAATGCTTTGTAAAACCTAGCTTACTGCTCTGAACAGAGAATTCAGAAATGATTCAAATCTACATTTTCTAGTCATGATCTAAATCTGCCCTTCATATTTGGAAATGGTACTGTTATTTTTATTTTATATGGACTGTTCTGTGCAGCAGAACTTTGGCTTAAATGATTTTGAGTGTTTGATCCTTGACCTTTATATTGAGCAGCAATCTATACCCTCAATCACACAAAATCTCTGTGGCCATTGTGTTTACTTGGTGGTCTAGGAGAGCAAGGAGCCTGCACAAGGTGGTCATCAGTATTGCTCATTTGTAAATGAGTTTGTTGCGTAAACACACAGGAAGAAGTTGTTAGGACATGCGAAGACTTCCTGAAAGAGATAGGGCGTTGCCCTCTGTTGGAAGGATGGGTAGACTATGGGAAGGTGAAGATGGGAAGGTGTTTGTGGACAGTACTGCAACATGACCAGAAGCACAACGGGGTAGTCAGGGGATTGACCTGACTGAAGTGTAAATGCATAAAATGAGCATAGTGCAAGTTTGCAAGTAAAAGCAGACCACATAATGAAATCAAAATTAATCCGTAGGTGTGTTAAAAGGAATGTATTTACCTATTTGAGAATTATCAACTTAGAAATAATGGTTAAATCCATGAGATAAGTCATTTATTCGTTCAACAATAATATATTGAATATTAGTTGCCAGCTATGGAAGTGCCAAGGGTAAGCTCTTGGCTCTCATGAAATTGACCTTCTACATGGCTGAATATACTCTTTCCCAGAAATAGTACAAGGAAATACGGTGGCTGTGACTTGAGATTTGTAAAACACTATTAGGTAACAAGGTTGAAAAGTTTCTTGTGGCTTCTCAAGATAAAACAATATGGGAGTAAGCTGAGTAGAACAGGAAGAATTCTGACCGAGGAGCCCAATGTCCTATGTTCCGATTTTAGCTCTACAGTCAGCTAATTGTACCACGGAGCAGACAAGCCCTCTAAATTTCGCTATTGAAACAGGCAAATGGGTACAGATCAGGGGTGGGCAAACTTTTTGACTCGAGGGCCACAATGGGTTCTTAAACTGGACCGGAGGGCCGGAACAAAAGCATGGATGGAGTGTTTGTGTGAACTAATATAAATTCAAAGTAAACATCATTACATAAAAGGGTACGGTCTTTCTTTTTTTTTAGTTTTATTCATTTCAAACGGGCCGGATCCAGCCCGCGGGCCATAATTTGCCCACGGCTGGTATAGATGCATGATTTTCATACTGTATATCATATATAATCCATTGAAACTTTTTTGATTTATGCATCTGTGTGCATAAATGTGGCCGTGTTTACAAAGTTGTGATGGGAACCTCTGTAAATTGGTGCAGCGACTACAGACAACAGTGTGGAGGTTTCTTAGAAATTAAAACTAAAACTCTCATATGACCCAGCAATTCTGTACCTCAGAAAGTATAGGAAAAAATGCTTGTGTTTTTTTATCCCAAAATTTTTAGAAAATCTAATATATTGTGCAAATTAGTTACTGTTATTTATTTACCTTTTATAGATGGTTGTATATGTTGGCCTTTATATTTCCACTTTTAAAAGAGTGATGATAAAATACCTCATTACTCCCATTTTATTATTTTTGCAAATGTAATTTAATCTTTTAGTGGAAAGGCATAAATATTTACAAAATGAACCTGAGATTCATTTCACATTATCTGAATGACAACGTATTTTTAAGGTATGTGATAGTGGAATGTGAAGATCAAGATACTCAGCAGAGAGACCCAAAGACCCATGAGATGTACTTGAATGTGATGAGACGATTCAGCCAAGCATTGTTGAAGGTAACCATTTAACATAGGGTGACAAATCTGGACCAGATCTCGCCTGTTGCCTGTTTTGATATGTCTCTTGATCTGGGAATGGTTTTTATATTTTCAAATGGTTCAAAAGAGTCAAAAGAAGAATATTCTTTGTTGTGATATAGGAAAATTATGTGAAATTCAAATTCAGTGTTCTTGAGTGAAATGTTATTGGAACCTAGTCATGCTTTTTGTTTTCATACTCTTTATGGCCAGTTTTGCACTACCTTAGCAGTTGAATAGTTGGAATGGAAAGTGTATGCCCAGTGGGTCTAAAGAATTTATTCCTTGGCCCTTTACAGAAATTTTGTTGATCCCTGATTCAATGAATGAACCTATACATGGAACCAAAAACCCCAATACTTTGCTTTTCCATTTCTACCTCTGTTTAGTATTTTTATTTTCAAAACTAAGTATGTTCCAAAAAGCTTGGCAGTGGTCATATTGCAGAAACTTTCCATACACCATATATTTTCCTTCTTAAACATTTTTTAGAGATGGTATGGTAACCATTTCCCTTGGTTTTTGTGACTCTTACAGTAGTGTCACAGTTCAGCCAGCAGTTGTACCAAGGTGAGGCAGACAACCCCTCTAAATTTCGCTATTGATGAAACAAGCAAGTTGGTATAGATGCATGATTTTCATACTGTACATCATATATAATCCATTGAAATAAATTTAAAAGCTCACAGCTTAGCATTTGTCATTTAAAGAGAAAATATGGTACACAGCAATGAAAAGAAAGCACATCAATCTGTGATTTTCAGAAATACTACTACTTTATCTTCTTTCATCTTATTAAATATTTAAATCACCCCTTATTTAACTCTTTGAGACTAAGCTTTTATATAGTCTTCAGAGCTCAGTGTCTCTACATCAAACTGATTAGCAAATAGCAAATAATTATTTAGCAAATTGGTGCTCTTTTCTAATCTCAGTTCTATCACTTACGGCATTTGTCACTCTGTGAAGAAATCTCAGTTCCTCTGAGCCTACATCTTTTCATCTTCAAAATGAGGGTGATAATATTTTCCCAGCTGTCCTTACCAGTGTAATTGGAAAATTCACTGTATTTTATAATATTTTATGAACTGGGAATCACTAAGACTTTATAGCATTTAGTTATTATAACTTTTATTTTACTAAGCCAGCATATAAAATGTTGCTATTTGATAACTTTACCCTTTATTTGGTAGATTTTTAGTTCTACCAATATTGTTGCTACCATGTCCCCAGCACATTGCTAAAGACATCATAGGCGTCCAGAAATTTATTGAATCAATGAGTGAAATCATTTTGTGTGAATAAATTCTATTTTGTTACATGGTTGTATGTGAGAAAAAAAAAAACGTGCTGTTTTTGACTGACTAGTACTTGCTGAAGACTCACTTAATATTTTAACTGTGGAAAAGCTGGTGTTTAAGATCGCAGGTTTCTCGTCTCTGAATCAAGATAATTAATCTTTTTCAATTACACTGTGCATTGAAGTTTGCAGCTATTAGAAGAATAAATAAAGATCGCCCATGCTATTAAAAAAACCCTGATCATTATGCTGCATAGAATTAATTTTCCTTCCCGTTGAATACCTTCAGGGTGACAAGTCTGTCAGAGTTATGCGCTCCTTGCTGGCTGCACAGCAGACGTTTGTAGATCGGCTGGTGCATCTAATGAAGGCAGTGCAGCGTGAAAGCGGAAATCGTAAGAAAAAGGTAAAACCTATGGGATTTGCTTTTTATTTATGACTAATAATGTCTTGATATCATAAAATTCTGAGTTTTGGTACTTTCTTTTGGGTTGATATATTTTATGAAAACCTTATTTAATTTTAGTAATAGGAACACTTAAGCATACTGATTATGTATGGAATTCTATTTTATGAGTTTTATATATTGACTTAATCCTCACAACAACTCTATAAGTTAGGTACTATTATTATTTTCCCAGCTGTAAGGAAAAGTAGGAGTAGAGAAGTTAAGTTAATTTGTCCAGTGTCCTCAGCAAGGATTAGCATTGGGGTGTGTACCCATATTTTTTGAATCTATATTTTACCTATAGTGTTTTATTGACTCTTATTTTAGAATCTTAGCATCCTAGAATATAACCCATTTGACATGGAAAGGGCCTCTAGAGATCATTTAGATTAGAATCTATCTGTGAAAGTGAAGGTCCAGAGTGGCTTAGCCAGGGTTGCAGAACAGTTGTTTCGGACAGCACTGGCTTTGACTCTGATGCATGGCCTGTGCATTGATCTTTCAACAGCGAGGCTTTTGCTTGATGAGGACAGTTGGGCATCTGTTCTTCATGCATGACTGTTTTCTAATCAATAACCTACGTAATATGAAGGACTCACTTGATATCTTATCTTTACCTCAGGGGTGGGGAGCCTTCTTACTGCCAAGGGCCATTTGGATATTTAAAACATCTTTTGTGGGCCATATAAAATTATCAACTTAAAAATTAGCCTGCTATGTTTGGTCATACATTTAATTAACTGACCCCTAAAGCCTTGGTAGAGCCAGACCAAATGATTTCAAGGGCTTTATACAGCCGTGGGCTGGGCATTCCCCACCCCTGCTTCACCTAATCCCATAGTAGGCAGGCCTTTCTACTATGTTAACAACACAGTCCATGTTCCTGTTGTTCTCCAGGCTTGTGAGATGCAAATGGAGAGAGGGAAAGGTGAAAAATTGAGTCATGAGTTCAGAGACAGGGGATCAGGTCTAGAGAGAATTTCTAGCAGAGATATGTGCATAGAATAATGTTCACAAGGTTAAGAGGGAGAAAATAGGATAAAGAGGAAACACATTATATACACCATTTTAAGGACTTTAACTTAAACATTGAGTGAGAGTGGAAGCTATTGGAGGTTTGAACAGGAGTGACATGAGCTGTCTTTCTTGTTAGCAGTAGCACTGTAGTTGTTTTTAATAAGAGACTGTGAGAGGCAGAGGTTGAAGAAGAGGTGCAGCAGGAGGCTGCTGCAGGAATCAAAATGAGAAATGTTGGTGGCTTGGACCCCAGGGCTTAGAGCAGTGGAGGTAGGAAGAAGTGGCTGGATTTGTGGCCCTTCTTTTATTACCTGCTTCCGGTTATTTTACTGTTTACGAGCACATCAACTAGAAATTGGTTATGATGGTATAACTAGATATTCAAATTAGTTAACGTTACTTTATATTAGTACTAGAGGCCCGGTGCATGGATTCGTGCACTGGTCGGGGGCGTGGCAGGGCATGGCCTGAGGGCATTGGCCCACTGTGGGAGCGCTGCTCATCCTGGTCAGCGTAGTAGCTATGGACCCTCCCTGTGAGTGGCTGCTGAATGAGGCAATTAATGTGAGGTCGTATTTCAGGGTAATGTCTTGGGTAAAGGTGTGTTCTGTGTCCTGGAGGAACCTGGCAGAAAGCTTTGCACCCCAAAGTCACTAGGTGAATGTTCTTGATGTGTGATGCCAGGTCAGTGACACCATCGGGGATGTTCAGGGCAGCCGTGCTCCAGGATCCTCAGTCATTAGGACAGCCTTCCTGGGGAGTCCACAGTCATGTCCCCTCTTGCCATCCGCCTGTGCCAGCTCCCCGCACTCTTTCTAGAACACACCTTAGGGGGCCTGCATCAGCTGGTGGTGGGGTCAGGCCAGAGTTTGGATTGTCTCAGGTATTTGATAGGTGCAGAGACTTGGGCTCACCCTGGGCCTCTAGCAGCTGCTCCCGCTGTGGGAGCACACTGATCACTAGGGGGCAGCTCCTGCATTGAGCGTCTGCCCCCTGATGGTCTGCGCATCATAGTGACTGGTCGACTGGTTCTTCTGGTCGTTCCACCATTCACCCACTGGGTTTTCAAATACATAGATATGTCTGATGGCGCATTTGGTTCGGTAGACTTACTGATTTTTGTAGGGGATATGTAGAAATTCATACCAGTTTTCAGTTGATTTTAACTTGAACTTGCCGATTCAAAAGGAGAATTGAGGTCTTACTAAAGGGAAAGAATTTAATTTATGTCTTGGTGGTCCTTTAAACATTTTTCTGAACTTCTGTCTTACCGATTCAGAGCTCTCCCTTTGAGGCACACATCCTTTCAGTAGCATCACAGTTCAAGTGCTCTATGCTGCGGGGACTGACAAGTCAAATTGTCCCTTAAAGAATAAGCTTGCCTATTCAAAGATTGCATGACTCTCACAGCATTCAAAGAAATGGACATTATTTTGGAATGGAATGGAACGGCTTGGTCTAAATAGCACAGCTGTTGCTCAGTGATGAAGCTATTTCACTGTGACATGAAATGTTGGTTCAATGCAGTGTGGGTGTGAGCTGAAGGAAATAAATGATGATTTCTTAGAAGTTTGATCAGTCAGAGTTAATGAACAATGAACGGTAAGGTTCAAGTTGGGTAGAGTTGAGTTTACTTTTTAAACCCAAAACTTGCACAGGAGCAGCATCACGAAATTCTTGCTTGATAATTGGTCGTGCAAAAATTATGCTTCAAACGAAGTTAGTTTCTCTTTGTGGCTTCAGTATCATTTGAAAACAAAAATGGAATCTTTAAGTCTAGCTTGAGTATATTCCTGATTCTCAGATGAGCAAGAGAAATGTGTTCCCTGACCATGTGCAAGTCCAGCTCTTCATAATCCAAGGAGTGCTCCTGTTAGAGCATGCTGCCCCTGGCAGCTCTCACTTGGCACATATTTTTTGTGGTGTTTTGCAGATACTTTAAAGTTAACGGAATCAGTCTTTATGTCTTTACCATGTTTTATAAACTACTTTTTTAAAAAGTTTAACCTAATTAATCCTTCCTGCCTTCTTCTAGAATGAGAGACTACAGGCATTGCTTGGAGATAATGAAAAGATGAACTTGTCAGATGTGGAACTTATCCCATTGCCTCTAGAACCCCAGGTGAAAATTAGAGGAATAATCCCAGAAACAGCTACACTATTCAAGGTAATCATGATGGATCTTTAACATGAATGATTGGAACCTAGTTCTTTAAAGCTAGAACACTGCAGGTAATATCTGTATTTGATTTAGTAATGCTAGGGGGAAAGGTACCCTTTATTTAACAGTGCTTTGATTTCTTGTATTATCAGTAGGCACTTTAGTATGAAATGTGTAAAGTATTTATATATATATCTGGGTTGTTTTTTAATCTTTAACTACTTTTTAATAAAAGTCACACCTACTTTTTTCCCATTTGAGCTTTTATTTAAAAAGTTAAATTGAAAACCTTATATTATGCATTCAGTTCATAGGTTCACTTGGTTAGATATGAGTCCCAGTTAACCTTTTTAACATTGCTCAACCTGTTCTTATGGTTTAACTTTCTCCTTCATATTTTTATGTAATACAGTAATTCTCTTTAGTCCTGAAGGGCATGCTAGGCTTTCTTTTGACCAGCCAACTCTTGGATAGTTAAAAACAGCCAGCTGGTGGTAGCTGTCTTCCCCAGATGTGCCACAGGACCCATCATGACCTGTGCAGCATCGTTATCTGCTGGACATTGTAATGACATAGTCATGGATTCAGGCTCTGCCCCATATGAGCTGGATGACCTTGCACACATTTTTTCTCCTGTCTCCTCACTTGTGAGATAAAACTAACACCTCCTCTGCATAGCTGCTAAGGCAGTCTGAAACTAGAGAGGGTCAGGAGTCTGGCATCATGCATGATAAAGAGGAGATGTGCTCACCATGATTATTTGTAGTGTTAGAGACATACTGGAGTAAATGAGGTAAAACAGTACAGCATTAAAATGCACCAGGTAGAGTCAAGATCCCTTGCTTCTAAGGGCAGGTGTATGACTGGCTTTGCAGTTTTGAGACTTAAATTACTTTTTTATGAAATGAAGGGTGATCTCAAGTACCTTTATTTTTTATTCTAGAATAACTAGAATCTTTCACTTAATTGGATGAAATCTAATGACTGAGTCCAGGGCTTGTGCTCTGTATGCCCAATAGTCCTGGCTATTAGCTAGCTCACTGTTTTCTCCAGCGTTCCCTAATGCTACTTGCTGCCAACCATCTTGTTTCTCAGGTCCTGTTTACCTGTTAGCAAATCTTACATGTCAGCATTTTCTTCTGCGCATAGTCAATTTTCATACATTAACTTATATCCAAATTTGAAAGCAATATTTTTATTTCCAGAGTGCCCTTATGCCTGCACAGTTGTTCTTTAAGACAGAAGATGGAGGCAAATACCCAGTTATATTTAAGCATGGGGATGACTTACGCCAAGATCAACTTATTCTTCAAATCATTTCACTCATGGACAAGGTGAACATAGCCTTATGTTGGTGGGGAACATTATTTCATTTTAGAAAACTGGTTTAGTACATATGCTGTATATGGACACAGGACATATTTGTAACATTTCAAGTACAACACAGAAAGCTCAGCAGTCTCCACTTGACCTTGAACAAATTCAGCTGTTTTGTGCACTGCAGAATGGCTCTTGAGATGGGGATAAAATGAAACTGCATGTGTTTCTTTTTATAAAAAAATTTTTCCCAACTGAATTGGTTCAATGTTGGATTTAGTACTTTCCTTCCTCTTCGTCAACTAGATCATTTTCAAATCCCATCCCTGTCCCAGGATTTTAAAGGAACGTATTTGCTTTTAGTTCATTTTATCTGAGTCTAAAATACTTTATGAGCAGAAAAAAAACCTGCATAAATTAGTAGGAGGAAGTCTACTGTTCATTGAAAACTGACAGTGATTTAGATTAAGATAAAAAATTGGCACACCATCTAGTAAGTGCTTAATAAATTTATTTTGATGATGAAAGTTAAATTAACTAAGGAATTTAGTTAAATCTTAGTTTAGGTTCACTTCCTGACTCTTATTTATTAAACTGCTATAATACTTGCCTGTAAAACTGTTTCATAACAATCTTTACATTTAGTTCATGTATTTTACCTTTTGACCAACAGCTACTGCGGAAAGAAAATCTGGATTTGAAGTTAACACCCTATAAAGTATTAGCCACCAGTACAAAACATGGTAAGTTTAGTTTACACTGTGGTGGTCTATTTCAATGTCAATGAGTATACTTCTCCTTTTTTAATTGAAATGTATTAAAAATGCTAGAACTGGAACTCATTTGCAGCACTGAAGACCAGCTGGGCTGGCCTGCCTGCCTCTCTCCTTGCCTCTCTTCCTCTCCAATCATTAAACATCATATTTGGAATAAAAACTAAAACCTTTCTTTGCATTCAAAGCTGGTTATAATTCACAGTGATTTCTTACATGGCAATCTGTGTCCTGAATCATCATTTGAGAGTTAACTACTAGAGCGGCTTTGTACTGTGCTCTGCTAATAAAAGCCACTGATTACCTGATTTTCTATATGGATTGATAGCATCCACAGCTTTTTGACATTGAATATCCTCTGGAAGCTGGAGCGAGATTCCCTAGGAACGCCTGTTGTGAATTCCATAGTCTTGTTTCTCTTAGAGTTGCATACCTTTACATACCCAGAGAAACAAGTTATCTCTCAGGTTTCCTGCCCTTCCCAAGCCACTTCCAAATCTTTTTGATAATTTAATTCTTCTCATTTTCCTCTCAGAATGAGCTTATTAAAAATGCAGATATGGTCTTTGACTATCTTGCTTAACTTGATTTATTAGCTTTCACTTGCTCTTGGGATGAAGGCAAAAGCCACAGCTTAGTTCTGCAGAGCGACATTCCCCCTGTGCCTGCCCTTGAAGCCTGTCCTCTGCCTCTCACCCCTGCTTCTGGGGCTCTCGCCACACTGACCACCTTCCCTTTTCTCCATGCACTGTGGTCTTTCAGCCCTCAGGCTTTCACATAGCTGTATTCATTATCTTTTACATTCTTTCCTCCACAGCTTTACCTGTTAACTCATTATCCTTCAAAACATGGCTCAGATTGCCAGATGCCTTCTGTTCTCTATTGTAATTTAGTTCTCCCACCCAAGAATGTCAAACTCGTGTTATTTAAAAGAGGCATGCGGCCCAGTGGCTGTGAGTTTGACATGCTTGTACACTGTTCTCTTTCATAGTACTCTTTCATCTGTAGTATTTATCCCAATGAAACTTGCAAGCTTGTAAGTTTGAAGCTTGGTCTATGAAGGCATGGTCAAGGCTCTATGTTTTACCTGGCAAAGTTCTTGCTATATAGTAAAGAAACAATAACAAATTTTAAGTGAATTAATGAAAACTATTTCGTGTTTATGATATAGTAATGAATGAGACATTTCATATTCTAAAAGAGTATCCAATCTCTTAATTTGCATGCAAATAGCTGATAGGAGGCTCACCAAAACCAGATCATGATTGTTTATGATCCTGGAATTCTTTCCATCATTCAACTTTGATTTTTTTAATGTATTTGTTGTTTTATATTGCTGCTGTTCCCAGATTCTTCTTCTTGTTCTCCTGTATACTATCTCCCCCTCTTCTTTTTGGTAGTTTAAAGGATTTATACTTTTCTTCTATCATTCCCATTAAAAGGTAGAAGATGGAGTATTAGATAAAAAAGCTAATGAACAGAATACAGTTTTAAGGTTAGGTGATTGGTATTACACAATTTCAGATTCTTAAAGTGATTTTAAATGTGGAATGGAAAATTTTTAATTGATATATTTAAAATATACAGAATACAGAAAGAAGAAATTTTTATGCCAGATTTAAGAAGTTTGGCTTCTTACGTTTTTGTGTTCCTTGTGTACAATTATAGAAATTGGCCTAGAGAAACATACAGATTAAGTTAGCTTATTTTTTTAAAAGTTACCTTAGCCTTTGAGATAACCACCAGAATGAATCTAAATAGTGTTTGCAGACCTTTTAGAGTTATTCAGGTATGTAGTGTATACCTTTGCAAATGAAGGTTATTCTTAGCAGAGCCTTTATTTTTATTGCTTAATCAATAACTTAGCTCAGGGCTATGCATTTATTTCTGTGTAGGCTTCATGCAGTTTATCCAGTCAGTTCCTGTTGCTGAAGTTCTTGATACAGAAGGAAGCATTCAGGTATGATACTTATTTAAAGATTTATAGAATTCATGAATATATTCTTGTTATAAAAATTTCAAGCTGTATAAAAGTATGTATGTTAAACTGAAAGTCTCCTTTTATCACCCTTTTTCTTGCAAGTATTTTTTCATTTCCTCAGAAGTAAACAATGCTAACATTTGGAAATTCTTCCATATTAGGACATAGAGGTTCTCAAATATGAGACATAATTCGGACATAATAGGAGATCAGTAATTAAATGGTGAACAAATTAAAAATGCCTTAAGTTTATGGCTACATTTCAAAGTGTGGAAATATTGTCATTTAACCATTAATGAACAGTTTGATTATCTCGAATTTTTGTTTAGTGCTCTAGTTATACTCTTGCTTGTGCATTTTTGCACAATTATTTTCTCAGGCCCCTGTCCTCCTCTTGGAACATCTCTGCCTCTTTTAATATAAGAAAAGGCAAGTAGATCCTAGGACTAAGCCATGTGTATTTTGGGAATTTTTTGCATTTTAAATATATGAATTTGTTCTTATTATACTTTAATGGTTTATTTTTGTTAACTTTTAAATAGAATTTTTCCTTTTCTCTATATAAGAAAAATGAATGATATTCTCACAGAATAATCGATATGCCTGAGATGAAAGATAATACAACAGGGGCTTGATAGAGGACATTTGCTACTGTGTGTTTTGTCTTTTTCGATTTAGAGTGTCCCTAATTCAGTATGGAGTTTAGATTTGCCGGAAAGCATTACTCTGATTTCTTGGCAGAGCAAGTGGTTACTCTGTTCTTATGTTTGGGGTACAGTTATGTACAGTGGTTAAAAGCTCGGGGTCAGAACATCAAACTGCCTGGGGTTGAAGTTTGGCTCTGCTGCTTTTTCGCTATGAACATTGAGTGACTGCTTAACCCTCTGTGCAGGCCAAGGCTACTGTCTTTAGAAGGCCTGATGGATTGCACAGGCAGCCCTTGGCTTGTATCAGGAAATTTGGCTTTCAGTGTGTTCCCTCTGTTCCATAACTGATAAGGGTGGTTTGCTGTGCCTATGCTATATAAAATAATATAATTTATAGCAATCAACCTGCTTTCCTTTTAAAATTTTGATAGTTGCTAGGCAGAGGGTGCTTATTGCTATAAATCTTATTCGTGCTACAACTATATGTTGAGTCTGTGACTCCATCTACCAAATCAAACCTATCGGAGGTCTGGGAACCAGACCTAACATACCCTTCAAGCCTCAGGTTTTGCAACAGGTAACATTTTTCCCCCCAAATGTTTTTGGTGTGCGGCTGGTTGAATCTATGTATGTGGAACCCCCACTGGATAACAAGTGTTTACTGTAATTAAAAACAACAGCAATTCATGTTCATTTTCAGGAGAATGTATGATATAAAAAAACCCCACAGCCCTCATATTTACTTTCAAAAGAAAGATGAAACAAGTGATATGTTAAGGATGGCGATATAGCAGTAGTTTATTGTTCTTTAAGCATATATGTGTGTTTTTTGTTTGTTTGTTTGTTTGTTTTGTCTTAACAGTTTGTAAGCATAGCAATAGATTTATTCCTGAGGAATATGCTTCCTAAAATCCACATTTTATAACTACAGACTAAATTTTGGATCAGATACCTATGGTAATTATTTACAGTTTCGAAATGCCTAATGTATTTAAGAATTATATTGAATTTGTTAACATGTAAAATACTATTTTCAGAACTTTTTTAGAAAATATGCACCAAGTGACAATGGGCCCTATGGGATCAGTGCTGAGGTAATGGACACGTATGTTAAAAGCTGTGGTAAGTTTGACAGACTATTTCCTTCCATTGATATGCTAGAATGAAGGGAAGTAGGCTACTCTGCGATTTCCATATCCATACACATTTAGAATGTGTTAAGGTGTCTCAGGCCCTTCAGGCTACTAGAACAATATTACCAGTTCTGGAGGCTGGAATTCCAGCCATGGGTACCAGTATGGTCAGCTGAAGGTCATCTTTGGGTTGAAGACTTCTTGTGTCATGTGGTGGATGGGGCTAGGGAGTCTGTGGTGTCTCTTTTACAAGAGCACTAATCCCATTCGTGAGGGCTTCACCCCCATCACCTAAGGACTTCCCAAAGGCCCCAACTTATAATACCACCACTTTGGCATTAGGATTCCAACATGTGGATTTGGGGGAGGCATAAAAATGCTCTATAAGAAGACTAAGATATATAAAATGTTGATAAAAGAAGTCATTAGTGGTTTTGATTAATAGTACTAATGAGGTATAAGTCCTATTGTGAATTTCATAAATGTCTTTACTGCTTAAATGAATTCATTTATTTTCTTTTGGCCGGCACTTCAGAATTGTTTCTGTAAAGTTTTTGTTTGTTTGTTTTTTTAAACCCTGCATTTACTTTGTTATCTTGTAGACAACACGATTGTGGGATGACTGACTCATTATGTGCATTTCTGTAGACACTTTTTTTTCACATCATCTTTAACGCATGTCTAATAAATGAGAAATGGTAGACCTGAAACCTGGTTTCACTTTTGAAACAAGTGGCTTTTATAATTTGACTAAATTCTACACGGTGTTTTTTTCTGTTGCAAATAGTAATTTCTTTTGAGTTTCAAATAATAAACTTCATAGAGTCAAAGCTTATAAATTTAATTTGAGAATTTCGGTGAGAAATCAAAAACAGTAGTAAGCAATTTGAAATTAAAGCAGCACACATTGCTTTTGTATTGAGCACTCCATATAACCTGGTTTGCATGTGTTATTCACAGTTTGTTTTTTAACTGTTATTGCAGCTGGATATTGTGTGATTACATATATACTTGGAGTTGGAGACAGGCACTTGGATAACCTTTTGCTAACAAAAACAGGTAACGTATAATGGCTACTAGCAGATAGACATTTTATATGCCAGTGATTTTTTTCTTTTACCTTGGAATCATTTTACCTTAGTAACAAAATAATATGCAAAAGTAAAGGTAAATCATTGTCTTAAAAGTCCCTTTAAATCAAGGGTGGGGAACCTTTTTTCTGCTAAGGGCCATTTGGCTATTTATAACATCATTCTCAGGCCATACAAAATTATCAACTTAAAAATTAGCCTGTGCTATATACATATTTGTTCAGACATTTAGTTAACTCATCCCTAATGCCATGGCAGCGCTAGACCAAGTGAATTCATGGGCTGTATATGGGCTGAGGGCTGAGGTTCCCCACCCCTGCATATGGTACCTTTGAAGGCCATTTAGGGGAAACTCCCATCCTTTATAGCAGTGGTTCTCAACCTCTCTAATGCCTCGACCCTTTAATACAGTTCCTCGTGTTGTGATGACCCCCAACCATAAAATTATTTTCGTTGCTACTTCATAACTGTAATTTTGCTGCTGTTATGAATTGTAATGTAATATCTGATATGCAGGATGTAGTTTCACTGTTACAAATTGAACATAATTAAAGCATAGTGATTAATCACAAAAAAATATGTAATTATTATGTGTTTTCTGATGGTCTTAGGCGACCCCTGTGAAAGGGTCGTTCGACCCCCAAAAGGGTCGTGACCCACAGGTTGAGAACCGCTGCTTTATAGGAATCACTTTAGTAGTAATCTTCTAGATGGTCATCTAGCCCTTGTTTCTTAAAACCCTCCTTTGGTGGACAGTCATGGTGTGTGTAGGCAGTCCATTCCCTTTCTGTACAACTCTAGTTAGAATGTTAAAGTGTGCTTTCTCTTACTAAATTCTCAGCAAACTTAACTCACTTTATGTTGGTTTTATAAATTGATTTTTAGAGAGAGAGGAAGGGAGAGGGATAAAGAGATAGAAACATTGATGAGTGCCTCCTGCACTCCCCCTATTGGGGATCAAACCCACAACCCAGGGTTGCCCTGACCTGGAATCAAACCGTGACCTCCTGGTTCATAGGTCAATGCTCAGCCACTGAGCTACACTAGCTGGAGTGAACTTACTTTAACTTCTATCTTTAACTCTGTTTTTTCCATGGAAAAATTCCTCCCCCTCCCCCTACTTCTTGATAACTCTTTTGCCTCATGGCTTTAAACATCTCTGGAAACAACTTCCAAACTTACAGCTCTCTACCTCAGTCTATTTTATTAGCTTCAAACCGAAATATATAACCGCCTACCTGAACTCCCAATTATATCACTAATTGTCAAAGTTGTCCCCTTCATCACCTGTCTGAAACCTGCTCTTCACCTCGCTTTCCCATCTCAATAAGTAGCCTTATCCACCCAGTTGTTTAAGCACCACACTTAGGAGACATTTTTAATACTCCTTGGCCTCATCTCACATATTTGACCTGTCAGCAAATCATGTCTACTCCTTACCTCCAAAATAGATCAAGAGGTTATGTGCTTTCTTTTGCCCAAACTGTTTGAGTAAAATCTGACTTTTTACTGTGGCTGCCATGGCTTGCCCACATGACCAGTCTGAATGTTTCAATGTCAAACCACTCCTGCCTCAGCCAGTGCCCTATTTCCTCTTCCTGGAAAGTTCTTTCAGATCTTTGCAAGTCTGACTGGTTGTTAAGTCTAAGTTCTCATAGCATTTCCTTAAAAAGATCCTCCTCTAACTCTCCGATCTGAAATAACATACCTGCCACCCCACCCTTCCCCATTACTCTCTATTGATTATTTTGTTTTGTTTTCTTTATACTAGTCATCACTAGCTGGTTTCTTTTTTATATAATTCAGTAAATATTTATTGAGCACCTACTGTGTGGCAGGTATTGTTGTAAGTGCTGGGGATACCAAAGTGAATAAAACACAAATCCTGACCCTAATGAAAGGTGTTGATTTCTTATATTCATCTTCTCCCATTCAAGATGCAGGTTCCTGCAGGGACCATGTTCGTCCAGCTAGCCACCGTGACTCAGAGCCTTGATTAACAGCTGGTTAAAGTATCAATAAATCAGTAGGCAATTATCTGCTCTTCTATGTAGCCCTTTTCTTCCCTAGGCTAAATAATTCTGTTTTTAGCCTTCCTCAGAAAATAGATTTTAAATTATTTTTTAAAATGGTCTCTTAGTTAAGGACATTTTCTATTTTGTTAGTATTTCTCCAAATTGTGATGCTAAGAATTGACATAATACATAGTATGCCATCTAATTATTAATGGATAACCCTGTTAATTCACATAATCTGGTATTTCATCTACTCAGTTTTAAATTACTAATGTAAAAACCATCTGTGGTTGAACTTGCACGTGGGAACCTTGTCTGTGCCAGGCAGTGGCTTTAATAACCAAGACCGAAGGACTGTAGCTGGATTGCCCTGGGGGTTGTCACCTAGTTTGTTAGTTTAGCAAAAGCTACTTATGAAATGTTACCATGTGTTTGGAGAGAATTGTAGTTTGAAGAAGTGCTCTGGGTTGTTTCCTTAGTTCTCTTTCTGGTTGAATCTGTTAACCACATGGAACAAGCTACCAGAGTGATTCCATGTGTTTCTTTGGCTTAATCATTTTATAACAATGTGATCTGTAATGTATAGAGTAGCATACATCTACGATGTTACATTCGCAGATCTTGTATGCAGATATATTTGGGGGGAGGAGAATTGATAAATAATAGACTTTTTCTTCTGTAAGAATTGCTCTGTTTGGGCGGGGGGTGGGGGGCGAAGATCATTTGGAAAGAGGAGTCTGCCTAATCTACTTTTTTTGGCCTAGGTTATAGTTACTTGTTTTATGGCAATTGAATTACAAAATTTCAGAAACAGAGCTTTAACTTTTTGTTACCAGTTTTCCACTAGAGGGTGCTTCAAATTTGCCTTTCAAAACAAAACTTTCCTTAAAATGTACTAAGTTAAAGGCACATTGTCTTTTTTAAAAACAGCATTTTTTGAGTGATTTTTTTCTTAACTTTTTTATAATTATTTTATCCAGATGTTTATCATACGTTGGTATCTTAAGTCTTCCTCACTAGGGTAGATGTTTTCAATTTTCAGGTTTAACTTGAATGAAATTAGGCTATATAGGAAAGTCTGGTTCTGTTAGGCAACTGGAAGCATAATACGTTCTTCAACTTTTAAAAATGATAATGATTTATTTAAAAATATTTGTGTCTTTTACTAACAGTTTGTATATTTCAAAGCAGTTTCAAGTTATATTAATTACGTATCTGTTGTAAAAAGACTTTGTGTAGTTTAGACAACGATTATATATTCAGAGTGCATTTTAAGTGTCATTTATTGCAGGAAGTACATTTCTGTGCCTATAGTTAAAAAATGTCTTGAATATCCTGAAGCAGCTTCCATTGGATATTTGGGTCCATTATACTTTCAATACAGACTATAACATATTAACCATTTAGAGCTTTAGATTGTCTTGTGTAACTGTACAGTCTCTTGGTGTTAGTGGATCATTTTTTAATGAAAAGTAAGATTTCTCCCATTTTAAAAAAATAACACCTTTTGTCTTCTGTTCTCATTTGTCAGTTTGGGCAAGTTTAAACACTGTAACTCAGCTTTGATTTGAAATTGTAATCAGAGTTCCACTGATTCATCCACGTTCAGTTCTCTAGTGTGAGAGGTGTAGAGAGAAAGGAGATACCAAGATGTCATTTCACTGGAGTCTTTTGGGGCACTTGATCCTAATACATTGTTCTATCGTATCAATATAGATGACAGAAAGAGTCAGACTGAGAAGTTTAGGATTGTGTGGAGGAAGATACATCACTGTATAAAGGGAATTTTAAAATCTTTACAATGGTAATTCGAAAAAAAAAGTGAAATATGAGTCTCAGTTATTGATTTTCAAGAAGCCCCATGCTTTTCATTTGGTTTCAGATAACCTTGGGACTTAACTTAGCTTGGTTGACATTTCTTCAGCCTGTGCAGCAGAGGGCGCTGTGTATCCACCATAAAAGTAAAGCACTGTCAGTTCCTTTGTCAGTGTATTGCCATGTGCTCCGTTGTAACCTTGTTTTATTGAAGCAAATTTGGGAGTGAACTGTGTTTCACTTATTAATGCATTGATATAGCATTATTTGAGCAAGAAATTTTAAAATGCAAGTGTGACATAGGAAAAAGCAAGTGGATTTTTTTTAGTTGATGTCCTTTGAGGAAACTTTCAGAGTAATCATTTGTGGCAGGACTCAAATGAAACATAATTTGGATTTATCCCAACTCTTTGAAGAAAGGCTTATTTTTATATTTGAGAATTTGAGGGGATGAAAAAAGGACCACTATAACCGAAAAACCTGTTCATTCTTTATGGTATAGACTTTATAATAGAATTAACATATAGAATTAATATGTAAATAACTGAAAAACATTCACAAATAAAAACAAGGAGCTAAGTGTGTATTACCAAAGAAGTTAGTTGTTAAGTCCTAAAGGTGGCCGTTCTAATTTGGATTTATACATTTCTCTAGTGAGGAATGGTGGCTTTTTTGTCTGTCTTGACACCTCAGAGTAATAACCCTTTGAGCCAAGTAAAGAAAAAGTTATTGTTATCCTAATCATAATTTTTAAATATATTTCCTATCCTGATCTTATCATTCTTTAATTTTATGTGAAGTTGATTCATTTTGTTTTTTTAATTCTTAGGAACAGTCTTGCATTGCATTAGTTAATATGTCAGTCTCAAAGTCAGATTATTTGAGTTTAAATTGCCTTTCTACCATTTTGTGACTATGGGTAAGTTATCTAATATACCTATGACTCAGTCTTTTCTTCTGAATGTGTAAATAATAATAGAACCTCTCTCCTGGTAGTGTTGTGAGGGTTGAATTAGATACATAACAGAATTTTCCATGGTACTGAGCACATCCTATCTAATAAAAGAGAAACATGGTAATTGGCGTACGACCGCTACCCTTCCCATTGGCTAATCAGCAAGTTATGCAAATTAACTGC